TTGCCTACTATTCCTGGGGGAAGCCCCACACACACTCCAACAGGCCACCCCACACGATCCCAGGCGATCCCACTCGATCCCAGGCCACCCCACACGATCCCACACGATCCCAGGCCACCCCACACGATCCCAGGCGATCCCAGATGGCCCCACACGATCCCAGGCGATCCCAGACAATCCCAGATGGCCCCACACGATCCCAGACGATCCCACGCAGCAGTTTGTGCCTTCTGTGCTGCATCTGTTCGACTCAGGCAGCTGCTGCTGCTGCTGCTGCTGCAGCAGCGGAATGTGGGGGCATGTATCTGCTGCTGCTGCTGCTGCTGCTGCTGCGTGCTTCCAGCGCAGACACTCTTGAATGCCCGTAGCCTTTTTCAAAAGGATTAATTGTTTGTATTTAATTGTTTATTTGTTATTTAAACTGTTTACTTAATTGTTTATTTAATTGTTTAATTGTTCATTTATTTGTTTATTTAATTGTTTATTTAATCGTTTATTTAATTGTTTATTTAATTGTTTATTTAATTGTTTATTTAATTGTTTATTTAAATGTTAATTATAATTTGCTTGGAATATCTTTTGCGGACGGCGAAGTTCGCCCCGCCGGCGTTGGGGGGAAAAAGTTGCATTTCGGAGTAAAATGGGTCAAATTGAATCTATTTTTGTCCAATTAAATAAATTAAATTCAATTTTTATAAATTGATTTCTTTTTTATGCAAATTTAAACCCAAAAGTCCTTTAAAACCCCTCAAAAACAGCAGCAGTCGGCTGCGGGGCCCCCCAGGTTGCTGCTGCGCCTCCGTCTGTCCGTTCAACTTGGAGCAAATTGAGCGGAAAATGGATCAATTTTGCGAATTAAAATTAAAAATGCGAAATAATTAATTAATTGCTGAATTAAAATGCTTTAAATTTTCGTTTTTAGCCTTTTTTTGCCTCCATTTGGCCCATGGAGCCACGGCGGCGCCCTTGGTCGTGGGAGTCGCGCAGTGTACATACACCCCAGAAGCCCTGCAAAAGACATAAAAGAAACAAATCCAAAATGGAAATTTCAAAACATTAAAAGTCTGCGCAGCAGCAGCACAGCAGCAGCAGCAGCAAAAGCAGCAGGCGCTGCAGTTCATGCAGCAGCTGTGACACCAACACTGGCAACAACAGCAGCAGCAGCAGCAGCAGCAGCAGCAGCAGCTGTTGGAGCAGCAGCTGCTGCTTTTGCATCTGCCTGGGGATAGTATAGGCCACGCAGAGCAGCCCCAGCAGCTGCAGCAGCAAAAGCAGCAGCAAAAGCAGCAACCGCAGCTGCTGCTGCAGCTGCGACAGCAGCAGCTGTCAGCAGCAGCGGCAGCAGCAGCAGCAGCACATTCAGACCTAGAGCACGCAGGGAAGCGAAACCAGCAGCAGAAGCAGCAGCAGCAGCAGCAGCAACATCATCTGCAGCAACCGCAACATCAGCAGCAGCAGCAGCGGCAGCAGCAGCAGAACAGCAGCAGCCGCAGCATCTTCAGGAACAGCAACAGCGACGGCGGCAGCAACTTCAACGCCACCAGCAACACTATCAGCAGCAGCAGCAGCAGCAGCAGCAGCAGCAGCAGCAGCAGCAGCAGCAGCAGCAGCAGTTGCTGCTGCTGCTAGATTGCGAAACAATGGCAGTTTGCAGGCTTCGTTTGTCTCCGGCGTTTGGCTCTTTCCGGCAGCCGCCGCTGCGCTTTTTGCTGCTGCTGTTTTGCTGCTGCTCTTTTTGCATTTATTTCTTTTTTCTTTTGGAGTCTCCTTTGGGCCCCCTGAGCGAGCTGCGGCTGCGCGCAGCAGACACAGCAGCAGCAGCAGCAGCAGCAGCAGCAGCAGCAGCAGCAGCAGCAGCAAGCAGCAGCGAGGGGGGGCAGCTGCAGCAAAGTCAACAAACAAATCAGCAGCAATTTGAAAAGCCCAACACAGAAGGACACAGCCGTTTGCTGCTGCCTGCTGCTCCGCAGCTGCCGCCTTTGCAGGCCCTGCAGCAAATCACAAATGGCCAGCAGCAGCAGCAGCAGCAGCAGCAGCAGCAGTTGCTGCTGCTGCAGGGGGAGCAGGAGCTTCTTGCCCAGTACGGGGACCCCGCAGCAGCGGCAGCAGCAGCAGCGGCAGCAGCAGCAGCAGCAGCAGCAGAAACAGCAGCAGAAGTTTTATTTCCGTTTCCTTCTCGCGGCTTCGCTTCTCCGCAGTTTGCCTTCAACCCGATGGAGCCATTTAGTGCCCCGCTGTCTTTGCTGCAGCTGCAGCAGCAGCAGCAGCAGCAGCAGCTGCTGCTGCGGCAGCAGCAGCAGCAGCAGCCCGGGCAGCTCAGCGGGGCGCCCCCAGTCGAACTCTACGCCGTCCACCCCTCCTGCGTCTCCTTGATCAAATACCCCTCCTTCAGCAGCCAGCAGCAGCAGCAGCAGCAGCAGCAGCAGCAGCAGCAGCAGCAGCAGCAGCAGCAGCAGCAGCAGGAGGTGCAGGTGGTCCGCGCTGCTGCTGCTTGCGCGCAGCAGCTGGGCCAGATCTCCATAAAGCAAACTGCTCTTGTCAGCTGCCTCGGGCAGCCTCTTGTGGGGTTAAATGAATTAACTTTTAATAAAAATAAAAATTCTCTTTTTGCAAATCTCTTCGGACTTCCCGTCCTGGTGGAGATACACCCCAGCTCCGGTCGCTGCCTCGCCCTCGTCTCCCTCGCCGGAGTCCCCCTCGTCGAAAAGGTCCCGCTCCTGCTGCTGCTGCAGCTGCTGCTGCTGCTGCTGCTGCAATGCTGCTGCTGCAATGTTGTTGCTGCTGCTGCTGCTGTGGCTGTTGCTGATGCTTTTGATGCTGCTGCTGCTGCTGCTGTGGCTGTTGCTGGTGCTTTTGATGCTGCTGCTGCTGCTGCTTTTGATGCTGCTGCTGCTGCTGCTGCTGCTGTGGCTGTTGCTGGTGCTTTTGATACTGCTGCTGCATTTGATGCTGCTGCTGCTGCTGATGCTTCTGATGGTGCTGCTGCGGATGATGATGATGCTACTGATGGTGATCTGCAACAGCAGCAGCAGCAGCAGCAAAAGCAGCTGCTGCTGCAGCGGGGGCTCTGTCTTGCTGCTGCTTTGTTCTTTATTCCTGTCTATTCATATTTTTATTAACTGCTTCTGTCTGCTGCTGCTGCTGCTGCTGCTGCTGCATTTGGTGCTGTTTCTCCTCCTGTTACTGCTGCTGTGTTGTGTTGCTTATTGCTGCTGTAGCTGCTGCTCTGCTGCTCTGTTAATTTTGCTGCTGCTGCTGCTGCTGCTGTTGCTGCTGCTGCTGCAGTACCACGACAGAGGGCGGCGCGTGACGAACGGCGTGGCGATCGCAATTGACGAGCCGGCTGCACCTGCTGCTGCTGCTGCTGCTGCTGCACCTGCTGCTGCTGCTGCTGCTGCTGCACCTGCTGCTGCTGCTGCTGCTGCTGCACCTGCTGCTGCTGCTTCGAATTCATCCTTGCGTTTGTATATAACTGGCAAAGAATGGCCAGCAATTGCCTTAGTAAAGTTAAAGCGAATATACCAAAACGAAGACATCGAATTCGGGAGAACGGGGGGCCCCTGGGGGGCCCCCTGGGGGCCCCCCTTGGGGGCCCCAGGGGGGCCCCCCTTGGGGGCCCCCGGGGGGCCCCCCTGTCCTGAAAATGAAGAAGAGCCAAAAAAGAAAAAAGCATTTATGCAGGTTAAGTCCTTTAAGGAGTTAAGAAGGAAGCTGCCGAACTTCCTTGCCACGCAGAGAATGAGGTGGTAGCAGCAGCAGCAGGTGCTGCAGCAGCAGCAGGTGCTGCTGCTGCTGCTGCTGCTGCAGCGATACTGCTGCTGATGCAGCAGCAGCAGCTTCACTGACGCAGCAGCTGCTGCTGTTTCTCCGCGCCACGCAGTTGCTGCTTCAGACGTGGAAAACGGCCCTGTTTCAGCAACAGCAGCTGCAGCAACTTAACAGCACAAGCTGCTGCAGCAGCAGCAGCAGCAGCAGCAGCTGCAGCAGCTGCAGCTGCAGCAGCTGCAGCAGCAGCAGCTGCAGCAGCAGCTGCAGCAGCAGCAGCTGCAGCAGCAGCAGCTGCAGCAGCAGCAGCTGCAGCAGCAGCAGCTGCAGCAGCTACAGCTGCAGCAGGAACACAGCTGCGGCAAGAGCCACAACGGATGGCGGCGCACTGGCAATAGGAGGAGGATCAGCAGCAGACTCCGCTGCTGCTGCTGCTGCTGCTGCTGCTGCAGCAGCAGCAGCTGCTGCTGCTGCTGCAGCCTTCCTGCTGCGTGCTGCTGCTCAAGACGAAGAGGGCTGTTGGGCTGCGGGCGCATCTTCGCGTTTTCTCCGCAAGAGAAATTCGCTGTAAGGGTCGTGTCTGTGCAAAGTGGAGAAGGCGGGAGAAGAAGAAAATTGAAATAAAAAAAAAGGAAAGCGAATTCAAATTCCAAGAGAAAAGACGCAGAGGGCCAGGAAGAGCTCTTTTAGGGTTTTGCAGCTCTTTTAGGGTTTTAATTGAGAAGGAGAACGCTGGAATTAGGGTTTACGGGGAGGGTTTGGCTGGCTGGGGCGTCCGCGGGTTTAGGGTTTAGGGTTTAGGGTTTGGGTTTGGACTTACTTTCCGGGGAGCGAGAGCTTTGCGAAGTGGACCCAGCCCTTGCTCATGTTTATGTCCAAGTCCAACACCAACTGCTGCACTGTCAAACATTTGTCGGGCGAAGCTTCGACGAGGGAGCGAATGAGCGCTCGGAACTGCAGATACACCCGGCGCACGCTGGGGTGTATAGGCAGCTCGCCGGCGCCGCCAAAGTGGAAAGCTGAGCGATCTGCTTCATTTTAGAGGCTCTTGTGCATTTTCGCGGGACTTTCTGCAGCATTTTGCATTTTATTTTCGAACTTAGCCAACAGCGACGCACTTGCTGCGCATTTCTCTTGTGAATCGCCTTCTCCTCCTTCGTCGCGCCGTACAACTCGCCCCAGTAGATCACTCTGCGCAGCCCGCAGCCCGCAGCGCAACAGCCGGCCCTTCCGCAGCAATCAGCAGCCACAAAAGCCTCCACCAAAGCCCCGCCACTCGACCTCCCCGCAGAACCAGCAGCAGCAGCAGCAGCAGCAGCAGCAGCAGCAGCAGCAGCAGCAGCGGCCCAAGCCTGCAGCAAGCCCCCCTGCCCACCTGTAGTCGTGGCCGTCGTCGCTGCTCATTCTGGCCCCGTATATCAGCCCCACGCCGTGCCGGTTCGGCCGCGGCAGCTCCAGCACTTGCTGCCGCAGCCGCTGCAGAGTCTTCCGCGCAGCGAGGCTTCTTTCCAGCGCCAGCAGCGGGGCCTCTTCGCTGCACAGCAGCACCGGCGGGGGGCTCGCAGCCGCAGCGGGGGGCCCCCAGGGGGGCCCCCAGAGGGGCGCCCAGGGGAGCGCCCAGACGGGCGGCGCAGCAGCTCGCGGCACGACGGGGGCCCCTGAGACGCTTGTGCGGCGGGGGGCAGGTGCAGGCGCCCCTTTGATGCTGCTGCTGCAGTTGCTGCTGCTGCTGCTGCTGCTGCTGCTGCTGCTGCCTGGCCAGCGTCAGCCGCTCCCTGTGCTGCCGCACAAGAGCCTCTGCTGTCTCTCTGGAGGGCAGCAGCAGCAGCGTCGAGGGGTCAACAAAGTTGAGGAAAGTTTCGGCCCTCAGGGGCAGCCCGTCCGTCTCCTCGGGGCCTGGGGGGCCCCCTGGGGGGCCCCCTGGGGGGCCCCCTGGGGGGCCCCCCGGGGGGCCCCCCGCCCGGCTGAGTTCTGGGTCTCTTTCTGCTGCTGCTGCTGCCTCGCTAGCCATGGAGCTGCTGCTGCTGCTGCTGCTGCTGCTGCATGTCTGTTGTGGGGCGTCGAGGGCCGCCAGGGGCTGCTGCTTGGTTTGCTTGGCCATCTCCGGGTGTACGTACACCTCAGCGAGCCGCGAGCTCGAAGACCTCCGCAGTCCTTCGAAGCTGCGCAGCTTCACCTGCGGTGGGGGGCGGGGGGCAGCATGGGGGGATTTTGCTGGAGAGAAAAGTTGAACCAAACCCTAAACCCCAAACCCTAAACCCTAAACCCTAAACCCTAAACCCTAAACCCTAGTCCGAATCTTTGGCAAGGTTCCAAGCCGCAAAGCCGCAGAGATCTGCGAGGCTCTGGCGCAGAAGAGCGCCGCGGAAAGACGGAAGAAGAGGAGGGAAGGCAAAGACGAAAAGACGCAATTCAAGTTGGGAGCTGCAGTCGGCAGCAGCGGGAGGCCGCGAAGAGCAGCTTCGAGGCCTCCAGAAGCAGCAGAAAGCCTCAAAAGGGAAAAAGTCTTTCAAATTTTCTGAAAAGAGAAAAAAAGCGCCGCGGGAAAGCGAAGTTCCCCCAGGGCTTTCCTCGCAAGTAGTTGGCAGTGGTGGAGCGGTGGAGGGGGTCGCTGCTGAGCGGCTCCCGCGCGTCTTCCCGCTAAATATGTCTTTTTTTCGCTTTTATTTGCAAAAATGTACTTTTAAACGGACTTACGAGTTAAATCTCGAAGAAAACGCCGGAGCCGACGGACTCGCTGCACTGCTGCTGGTTCCTGGGGGGCCACAGCCACTCGTTGGAGGCCGCTGCTGCTCACGCAGTCAACATGAAGATCCAATGCGCGAATTCGCGTGCGAATTGAAGATAAAATATATTTCCAGAATTAAATTCGAAGAAAATCATTCCTGGGCTCCGACTTAGGAGGAAATGGAGGCTTGCGCGCGAGCAGTTGCTGGCCGTCGCGCACTACGTCAAAATAGGAAACTGAATCGACACTTAGCGAAGATCTAATAGTCTTAACTGCCTCAAAAAAAGTAAATTATGCCAATTTCAGCTCCTTTTCCAGACAGACAACTCAAGACAAATTAAACGCCAAAATTCGAACTTCGCTTTGCAACAAAAAATGAAGTGACGAACTGCAGGCGCTGCGATTTGCAGTTGACGCCGGAGGTGTCTAGACAGCTGAGGAAAACTGGAACTGCGGCGAATTCCGAGAAATTTGAATAAATTCAAATTTTCGGAATTCGCGGGGAAGCAGCAGCAAATAAAAGCCACTGAGCAACTCTGAATCAAATTCACTGCTTGGAGGTGGAATTAAACTACTTTTTCTCCTTTTTTCGCTCATTTCCCGCAAAACTTGAACTTGCAAAAAACTGGAAAGTGAAGGAAAGCGACGGGGAAACGGACTTGTTCGTCGCGAGGTGCAACACAAAAGAAAAAGTGAATTATTGCAAAGTTTTTGCGGAGTTCTCGCGAAGAGGAAAAGGCGTTTTCTAAAAACCTGAATTTCCTCTTCAGGAGTGAAGAATGAAGACTACAGAAGAAGGGTTTCCGCCCTCTCACTAAGTGCGCCTTTGCTGCAAAGAGCATTCGAAGTGGAAATTAATTCTAAATTGTTCTAATTTAATTCAAGAGAAAGAATTCAAGTGCAGCAACTCGAACTAAAGTTTCCACTACTTCTCCACCCGCTGCTGCTGCTGCTGCTGCTGCTGCTGCTGCTCCGGTGGCTGTGCAGGCTCGGCCTGCTGCTCTGCTTCCTCTGCCACATTTATCGTCTTTTCCGCCCCCGCTGCTGCTGCTGCTGCTGCTGCTGCTGCTGCTTTTGCTGCTTTTCGCTCTGTGGACTCTGCAGCAGCAGCAGCAGCAGCAGCACGGTCGGCTTCCGGGGAGGCAGCGGAGCTTCGCGTTGCTTCTAAAAAGGCATTTGTGCTTGCTGCTGCAGCAGCAGGTTCTGCTGCTGCTGCTTCGGCCTCACGTTGGCTGTCTGCTCTTTGCTGCTGCTGCTCTTCTCTCTCACGTTCTCTTCGCTGCTGCTTCTCTTCTCTCTCCTTTTGCTGCTGCTTCTCTTCTCTCTCCTTTTGCTGCTGCTCTCTCTCCTTTTGCTGCTGCTGCTCTCTCTCCTTTTGCTGCTGCTGCTCTTCTCTCTCCCTTTGCTTCTGCTGCTCCTTTCTCTCCCCCTCTCTTTCTTGCTGCTGCTCTTCCCTCTCCCTCTCTTTCTGCTGCTGCTGCTGTTCCTTCTCTTTCTGCTGCTGCTGCTGTTCCTTCTCTTTCTGCTGCTGCTGCTGTTCCTTTTCTCTTTGCTGCTGCTGCTGTTCCTTCTCTCTTTGCTGCTGCTGCTGTTCCTTCTCCTTTTGCTGCTGCTGCTGTTCCTTCTCCTTTTGCTGCTGCTGCTGCTCCTTCTCTCGTTGCTGCTGCTGCTGTTCTTTCTCTCGTTGCTGCTGCTGCTGTTCCTTCTCTTTTTGCTGCTGCTGCTGCTCCTTCTCTTTTTGCTGCTGCTGCTGCTCTCTCTCCCTCTCGCTTTCGGGGGCTTCTACAGAGCGCTGCTGCGCTGCATCTGCTGCTGCTCCTTCAACTACAGTCCGTTGCTGCTGCTGCTCTGCTGCTGCTTGCTGCTGCTCTTCCGAGGCCTCCTGCGGCTCCTTTGCTGCAGTCTCTTCTGCTGCTGCTGCTGCTGCTGCTGCTGTTCTCTTTTCCCTGCGGCTCTGTTGGCCGGGGGCGGGGCGCGTGGGGGGCGCTGCGGCCCTGTCTCCGGGTGTCTGTACAGCGCAGCAGCGCAGCAGGAAGTTCACGAAATTCAAAACTGGAAAAAACATTTTCCTCTCCTTAGAGGCTCATTCGGGCCTTTAAATGCAGCAAAACAAATTTAAAACAAATAAATGCATTTATTAAACTCAAATAAGACAAAAAGAAGAAAAAAATCAAAAGAAAAGAAGTTGAAATGCCGATTTGGCCGCGCTGCAGAAGCGACTTGGCACTTTGCCCGGGGCCAAAGCGAGCGTTTAAAGTCTTTCCACAGATTCCATTTTACTTTTATTTGGATAATTAATTAAATAAAAGATTATTTCAGGCAAAAAGAAGCAGAAGATGGGAAATTTGGAAAGTTTTTGCAAAAAGTTCAAGTTTTGCAAGCGAGGACTCACCTCCCTGTCGAAGGGCCAGCCCGGCAAAACTGCGTAGAAAGGCAGCGAAATGGCCCTTCCGATGTCCGTCAAAGCGCTGGTGAGAATATCGAGGGGCGACTGCGCAGCGGCGAAGGGGGGGGGGCTGGCGAGCAGCAGCGCGCCCGCGGGCAGCAGCAGCAAGCTGGAGCGGACCATTTCGCCGCGATCTGCTGCGATCCGGGCCGCCAAGTGCGCGCTCGAGGGCTGAGGGAGTTTTAAAGGCAGTTTGGAGGATATTTGGAAAAGAATTTGCAGAAAAAGAGGAAAAATCCGCGAAAAACGAAGCAAAATGGAGGCCGACGCGCGGTGGAGGTGGCGAACGCGCACGGCGAGTGAAAAGGACCTGAAAACCCGGAAAATGAGACAATTCTTTGATCAAAGTTCGCCAAAAGGTAAAATTAAATAAATGGTTGAAAAACTTTGCCGTTTGAGCCGCCGTTTCCTCCAAATCGCGCGGCCGAGCAGCAGGAGCTGCTGCTGCAGCAGCGGCGCTGGGCAGTGTGTACTGACACCCGGTGACCCGGACAGCGCAACCGCGCCATCTATTCCGTTATTTTCCGCTTATTTTCGTTCTTTTGCAAATTAAAACATTAAATTAATTATTTTCAATTCATTTGCTCCATTTTCAACTCCGAAACTCCTTTTTTCGCCCCAAATCCGCTGCGGTCCGCCGCCCTTCCGAACCGCCAACGCACCACTGGACTCCGCTCCCTGACAGTCCATTTAATGAACGCAAATCGTCAAATAGCGAAAAATAAAACAAATAAATTAATTAAATACTTTAAAAACTAAAAATTAGCAAAAAGAAAAGTCCAAAACACCATTTACTTGCACTTTCCTGCCACTTCCCGTCATTTCTCGAGTTGTTTCCTCTTGCTGCTCATTTTTCCGACTGTTCAACAGAATAAAAACTAACAAATTGAATTTTAATTTTAAAATTGCATTTAATTAATTCTTTTAAATGCCAATTTGTCCACTTTTTGATAATTGCTCCTGCGGCCAAATTGCACTACCGCAACTCAACCACTGCTTCAGTACTCCGAACCTAAACCCCAAACCCTAAACCCTAAACCCTAAACCCCAAACCCTAGAAAGTTATCAGCAAGAGCTGGGAAAGCCTGGGGCTCAAACGCGCAAAAGAATCGAAAATGAAAAATTCGTTTTTTGATTTATTTCTTTTTCCAGTTGCTTCTCGGCGTGGGGTGTACGTACACCCCACGGCTCCGTGCAGACATTGCAAATAAGACATTTCTGACTTTGCAGAAGACATTTAAATGCATTTTAGCAGATTTAAATGTCCTCTACAAAGTTATAAATATAATTAAATGCATTTAAATGCATTTAAATGCATTTAAATGCATTTAAATGCATTTAAATGCATTTAAAAGCACTAAATGCATTTAAACTCAAGTTTGCAAATTTGCATTTAACAGGAATTTGAATATTATTATTTTTCCCAAATGGCAATTTACTCATTAGGGCTGCAGACGCAGTTTTCATTTATTTCATTTTATTTGTTTTTAAATATTTGTTTTCTTTTCAAATGAACAGAAAAGTGAAATAAATAAAAAAGGAATTAATTGAATTAAAAGGAAATGCAAAAAAACAAAGAGACATTTAACACTTCTGCCAGTTCAAAGTGAAAGTCAACTGGCTCTGCTGCTGCTGCTGCTGCTGCTGCAGCTTCCGTTGCTGCTGCTGCAGTCGTCGCCGCTGCAGCAGCTGCTGCAGCTGCTGCTGCAGCTGCAGCAGCCTAAAAGGAGCCATAGATTACAAAAAAAACGCTGAGCAATGAATTCCTGCTGCTGCTGCAGTTGCTGCTGCTGCTGCTGCTGCTGCTGCTGCTGCAGCTCTGATTTGCTGCTTCCATGTTGAGGTGTACATACACCTCAACAGAAGCTGCCGAGCGCACAATTGACATAATACACTGAAAAACACCTCAGCAGCTTGCTGCAGCTGCTGCAGTAGTAGTTGCTGCTGCAGTTGCAGTTGCTGCTGCAGTCATAATTGCTGCTGCAGTTGCACTTGCTGCTGCAGTTGCAGTTGCTGCCGCAGTCGCATTCGCTGCTGCAGCAGCTGCTGCTGCTTGTGCTGCTGCTGCGACTGCAGCAGCAACAGGAAATCGCGTTAGAAAATAACAGAGACGCAACAAAGAGCAGCAGCAGCAGCAGCAGCAGCAGCAGCAGCAGCAGCAGCAGCAGCAAGGGCGCATCAGGACGCCGCATGAACACTCAAATAAGCAGCAGCACATATTTGAATTTCCATATTTATTTGATAATAAATAAATTTATTTATTTTTATTCTTTTTTTCTTTTTGCTGCTGTTGACTCTCCAGTGGCTACGGGGGCGGCAGCTGCGGCTTGAAAGCTGCTGCTGCTTCTGCTGCGCTTTTTGCTGCTGCAGCAGCAGCAGGGGCATAGAGCAGCTGCAGGCGGTCTGCTGCTGCTGCTGCCGGTGCTGCTGCTGCTGCAGCTGGCGCTTCTGCTGCTGCTGGCGCGTCAGCAGCAGCAGCAGCAGCAGCAGCATCAGCAGCAGCAGCGCTGCTGCGGCTCTCAACTGAAGCCACAGCAAGAGGCTCCGTGCCAGCAGCAGTTGGATGCAAAAAAGAGAAAATGGAAAAAATGTTTAAAGAATATAAAATCAAAAATAATAAAACGAAAATGAACAGAGTCAGGAAGCACCGCCTGCAGCAGCCCACGCCCCAAAACAGCAGCAGCAGCAGCAGCAGCAGCAGCAGCAACAGCAGCAGCAGCAACAGCAGCAGCAGCAGCAGCAGCAGAAAAAGTAGGAATGGTGAGTAATAGAAGAGCAGCAAATTAATTTGTAAATTAAAAATGAATTAAAAGTAATTGTCAATGAAAGGGCTTACGACTTGAGTGTACATACACCCCACCAAATGCACTTTGTATATATTTTAAAAAGCAAAAGTGGAAAAGAAATTAAATTAAAATTAAATTAAAATTAAAATAAAATAAAATTAAAATTAAATTAAAATTAAAAATGAAAAACTGCAGCTTGTGCCCGTTCAGGTGTACGTACACAACAGCACAAGTGGACATTTAATGCATTAAAATAAAAATAAAAAAAATATTTTTTAAATTAAAACAAATTACATTATTTAAAAGCCCAGAAAACACAAAGAGAGTAGCAAAGAATTGAAAAAGAAATAAATAAAATGAAATTAAAAAATTAAAAACAAAAATAAATAAAACTGAAACTTCCAAAAATCAAAAAATATTATTTAAAAACGACAAAGAGGAATCTAAAAACGCCAAAAAGTAAATAAATAAATAAATAAATAAATAAATAAATAAATAAATAAATAAATAAATAAATAATAATGAACAAATTAATTAATAAATACTAAAAAATAAATAAATAAATAAATAAATAAAATGTTGAAACTTCAAAAACTAAATTAGAGCTCCTTGCCTTTGCCTTGAGCGCTGCTGCCTTCGGCTCGCCTTCCGCAGCTCCATTGTAGCAGATCTAAAAATAAAAATAAAAAGAAATAAATAAATAAATAAATAAATAAATAGTAATTAATTAATTAATTAATTAATTAATTAATTAATTAATTAATTAGTTAATTAATTAATTAAAACATATAATAAATATAGAAATAAATACTGATAAATGGATGGGTAAATGTGTAATAAACAAAAAAATAAATAGCAATTAATTAATTAATTAATTAATTAATTAATTAATTAATTAATTAATTAACTAGCAAAAGAGATAATAAATATAGAGATAAATACTAATAAATGGATGGATAAATGTGTGTAAGTAAAGAAATGAAAGAGAAGTAAACAAATGAAAAGATAGATAAATTAATCAAATAAATAAACATATCAAATAAACTAAATAATTAAAAAGATAAACAAATAAATAAACAAACAAATAAACAAATAAATAAATAAATAATAAATAAGCAAATAGATAAATAAATAATAAAGAGTAAATAGGCCTCCAAAGTGCTGATGCATTCCCAGAAAAGAAAAAAAATTAATTTGCAGTTCTAGCGAATTCTCTTGAGTTTGAAAGGAATAAAAAATGAAAATAAAATGAAATAGATAAAAAGGAAATAAAGTAGTTGGGGGAGAAATAAAACAAATAAAGGGATAAAAGAAATGAGAGGAAATAAAAGAAACAAAAAGAAATAAAATAAATAAAATGAAATAAAAGAAAAGATCTTTTTGAAAACCCACTTGGAGTGCGCGTGGGCCTCCTGCATTTGCGTCTCAATGGAGTTAAGAGTTTCGCCTTGGGAGAAAATGAGATTGGCGAGGTCTTTGAAGATGCTGTTGGCCTGCAGCAGCAGCAAATAGTGAAATAAATTATATTTTGAATTAAATAAATTCAAATTTGAATTAAAATGAAACAAAAAGACTTCAAATTCGCAAAAATCGAAAAGAAACCGGGCCAACCGGGTGTACGTACACCCCAGCCCGCGCACCAAATCGAGACCGAACTGAAAGGCCATTAAAAAGAAGTTAAATAAAAGAATAAAAAGAAAAAATGAAATAAAATAATTAAAATAAGTAAATTAAAATAAAATAAATGAAATAAAAAGAGAAAGAAGAGAAAGAAACTGAAAAATAAGACAGGAGCCGCCACTGGGCAAGTGGAGAAACCAGAAACATCAAATTGATTAATTTGAAAACAAATAAAAGGCATTTATAATTCAATTTGAAAATAAATAAAATTAATAAATATATTTCAAAAGAAATAAAAAGAAATAAAAAGAAATAAAAAGAAATAAATAAAAATAAAAAAGAATTCAAAAACTCCCACCTGAGAAACCTGGGCGTGGATTCGCCGAATGCCTTCATAGCGATCTTCAGTTACAGCTTGCTGAAACAAAAAAGAATTAAATTTGATTTTAATTATTTGAATTTAAATTTAATTATTTTAAATATTAAATCTAATTAATTTAAATATTAAATTCAATTACTTTGAACATATATTTAATGGTGACTTGAATTTGAACTTAATTCTTTTAAATTTAATTTCAGTTATTTTAAATCTGCCAAAAGATTTATTTCAAGTTATAATTTAATTATTTTAAATATTAAATTCAATTATTTTAAAAAAGTGAAAGAATTACTTAAATTCAAATTCAATTATTTTAAATAATACAAAAGGGTAATTTGAAGTTGATTAAACTTCTTTAAATAAATAAATAAAAGGAATAAATTAAATTAAATTTCTTCTAAATCCCTTCAAATCCCACTAGGCCATCTTCTGCAACAAATCTTAAAATTCAGGAATTATTAAAATAAATTAAAATAAAAGAATAATAAATAAACAAACCCACAATTATCAAAAGTAAATTGAAGTAAAAGAATAAGAAATATATAAAATCCAAAATAATTAAAATAAAATAAATGAAAATAAATTAATTAATTTTTAATTTTAATTTTTCCTTACAGACAGCAACGCGTCGTTCTCCGAGACGAAGTCAAACTCCCTGCGCATGCAAAAAATAGAATAAAAATAAAATAAAATAAAAACAAATAAATAAAATAAAAAACTAACAAAGAAATAAAATAAATAAATACAGATAAAAGAATAAAACAAACAATAAATAAAAAGACAGAATAGACAAATTGAAATTGCGAAATAAAAGATATAAAAGGTGTAATTAAAAAAGATAAAACGGAAAAGAAATGAAGATTTTAATTATTTAATAACGACAAGGAATTGGAGATAATAATAAATAAAAAAGGCAAAAAGAAAATAAAAAACAAATTAAAGGAATTAAATTCTGAAGAAGTGATAAATAATAAACAATAAAATAAAAACGGTAAAAGAAAAACAACCTATGATTAATAAAAAATAAAAAATAACAACTAACGAATAATAAACAACACTTAATAAGAATTAATCAATAATAATTACTAAATAATAAACAATAAATAATAAACAAACAGTAACAAACAGCAAACAATAAATAATAAAAAATAAATAACAAATAATAAATAATAAGTAATAAATAACAAATAATAATAAAAAACAAATAAATAAAAATGAATTAAATGACTTTCGGCTTTCAAACAAAAGCCCGCTGAAGAACTGCATTCCAAAGACTTAAAAACGAAATAAACAAACTAACCAAACTAATTAATTAATTAATTAATTAATTAATTAATTAATTAATTAATTAATTAATTAATTAATTAATTAATTAATTAATTTATTAAATTATTTATTTATTTATTTATTTATTTAATTACGCGATATCTCTGCAGTCTTCTGTGATGAACAAATTGTCCGTCTCGTCGCCGCCGTAGGCGCCGGCCTGCGGTGTACGTACACCCGAAAACGGGGGCGGAAAGAATTCATTTAAAACGAAACTGAAAAACAAATATTTATTTATTTATTTATTTATTTATTTATTTATTTGATTATTTATTTATTTATTTATTTATTTATTTATTTCCACTTTAGGCCTCACATTTTCCATGTCCAGAATGACTTTGGAGCTTTCCCCGTAACTCAAAGGGCGGGCCTCCTCGCCATCTGCTGCTGCTGCTGCTGCTGCTGCTGCTGCTGCTGCTGCTGCTGCTGGGTTGTTTGTGCGCTCTGCAGCAAGCCGGACTTGGTCAGACAAGTCCTGGACCCTTCGAATCTGAAGAAAATCAAAACAAAATAAAACCTAGGGTTTAGGGTTTAGGGTTTAGGGTTTGCTTCTGCTTGAAAACGCGCAAAAAGCTCCTCGAAAACAACCCTGGTTAGGGTTTAGGGTTTAGGGTTAGAGTTTACGGCTCAGGGTTTAGGGTTAGGGTTTAGGGTTTAGGGTTTAGGGTTTACTTCTGCTTGAAAATGCGCAAAGAGCTTTTCGAAAAGAAATTTGTCTCTTTGCTTTTCTATGGAGTCAATTTCTGCTTCGGCGGTTTGCTGCTGCTCCTGCAGCCATCTGCAGCAGCAGCAGCAGCAGCAGCAGCAGCAGCAGCAGCAGCAACAGCAGCAAAGTTTTTAAGTCAATTGAAAATTTAAATAAATAAATCATCAGCAGACAAGTAAATAAATGGATAAATAAATGAGTGAATTACATAATTTGAATTGAAAATAAATAAATAAATCCATGCGAAACCAAGAGCTGAACCCTAAACCCTAAACCCTAAACCCTAAACCCTAAACCCCAACTCAAAAGAACGCAACCGCAAAATGAAGAGAAAGACAAACTCTACTACAAAACCCCACACCCTAAGCCCCAAACCCGAAGCCCCAAACCCTAAACCCCAAACCCTAAACCCCAAACCCTAAACCCTAAACCCTAAACCCTAAACCCTAATTGGCTCACGATTTGAAGGCGGTTTCGGTTTGCAAAATGACATCGAAAGTTTGCTTCAGCTTGTCATGCAAAGACTCCACAATTCGGCGAGATATGAAGTTGCGGTTTAGATTCCGCAGCTGCGCGCGCAAACCCTAAACCCTAAACCCTAAACCCTAAACCCTAAACCCTAAACCCTAAACCCTAGAGCGTGTCGAGGCCCAGCCCCTCCCCAAGAGCAATTCGGGCAGCACTCTCAGCAGAGGCCCTACTGGTGTGCGCTGCAAACAACTCGCTAAATCCCAAACCCTAAACCCTAAACCCTAAACCCTAAACCCTAAACCCTAAACCCTAAACCCTTGCTTACGTTTGCCTCGATGCTCTGCAAGTTGCTTCGGATGGTTTGGATATTCGCTCTGACGATTGCATCGTAACTGCGAGGCCCTGAGGGAAACGCAAAACCCTAAACCCTAAACCCTAAACCCTAAACCCTAAACCCTAAACCCTAAACCCTAAACCCTAAACCCCCCTAAACCCTAAACCCTAAACCCTAAACCCTAAACCCTAAAACCCTAAACCCTAAACCCTAAACCCTAAAGAAGGGCGAAATGTTGCACAGCGAAGTCAACAAACTGTTCACCAACGCGGGGGTGTTTCCCGCGCCCTGCATAAACCCTAAACCCTAAACCCTAAACCCTAAACCCTAAACCCTAAACCCTAAACCCTAAACCCTAAACCCCCACCCTAAACCCTAAACCCTAAACCCTAAACCCTAAACCCTAAACCCTAAACCCTAAACCCTAAACCCTATTATTTTAATTCCCCGAAGAGAATGCGTGGCTTTGGTGTCTGGAACTCTGGAAAGGAGGCGACAAAGGCGCCGCAGACCTGCAGCTAAACCCTAAACCCTAAACCCTAAACCCTGCGTTTTGAGCCTTGAGCCCAAACCCCAAACCCTAAACCCTAAACCCTAAACCCTAAACCCTAAACCCTAAACCCTAGCTCACCCGAAGAGCGCAGCGCCTCCCTCTCGTCTACTAAAGGCTCTGTGCCCGGCAGCGGCGTTGGGCGAACGACGAAAGACATGCTGTACGTACACCTGAAGTTTGTTTGTTTTCTTTTTTTCTTTTTATTTTATTTATTTTATTTTCTGAACTTTTGTTGTTTTATTATTTGTTTTATTTAATTTCTGAAATTCCCTTTTTTATTTCTTCTTTCTCTTCCGGTGTACCTCCACCTTCCCCGCGGCGGCTGGAAGGGCGCTAGGGTTTTGGGGTGTACGTACACCGCGAGCCCGCCGGCCCTAAACCCTAAACCCTAAACCCTAACCCCCAAACCCCAAACCCTAAACCCTAAACCCTCGGGGGAGTCGCGGTGTGTGCTGCTGCTGCTGCTGCTGCTGCTGCTGCTGCTGCTGCTGCTGCTGCTGCGCGCGGCGGGGCGGGCAGCAGCAAATGGAGTTGAGGGGAGAAGGCGGAGGAGAGCGGAAGGGCCTGCGGTGTCTGTACACCCGAATTGCAGAGAAAGCGCAGCAGCAGCCGAAAGCGACTTTGCATGCGCGGGGGGTTTTCGGGGTTTGTTGAGGAGCTGCGGAGTTGGAGAAAAGAAGAAAATGGAAAGAAATGAATTAAAAGGAGTTTAAAAGGAGAAGCGGAGAGCGAGAACTGGCGGAGAGAATAGCGAACGGCTGCTGCGCTGCGCTGCAGGCGGGCGGGGGCTTCTTCGCCGGCGTTTGACGCGGAACTTTTCTTCGAGAAGTGCCAAATTGAATTTTAATTCCATTAAAAGAATTAATTTGCAAATTCCGACGCAGACAACGCCGCTGCAGGGCTGCAGGCAGCAGGCGCCGCCGCTGCCGCTGCTGCAGCAGCTCATCGGATCTGCAGCAACCCGCGGGAAACCAGCCACCAAATGCACTTGTCTTTCGCATTTTAGTCCTTTATTCTGCATTTTTCCGCCAAATTTCCCAAAATCCCGCAAAGATTCCGCGAAATTTGGATTTAAAAGTGGGCTTTCGGCGGCGCGGAGCTGCGCCCATGTGCCACCGCGAGGTGTACATACACCTGAATTTTCTGCGCGCGCAGTTTCTGAATTTCGCCCATTGAGTCTTCACTTGTTCCTTTTTGGGGAATTTTGGGTCATTTTTTTCGCTCTTTTCTGCTCTTTTGCTCCGGAATCACAATGAGTCCGCGATCCCGCTGCTTTTCGCTCCTGCTGCTCCTTTTTTCCTTCTTTTTTCCCCTTAAAATCCTCTTTTTCGCCCACTCCGCCGCTGCTATCATGTTCGACTTGCCCCCCCAGGCCCGCGAGTGCTTCTTCGTCAAGTGCTCCGACCAGGAGTCCGAGATCACCGGGTGAGCAGCAGCTGCTGCAGCACTTCAACTGCAGCAGCAGCAGCTGCAGCAGCAGCAGCTGCAGCAGCAGCTGCAGCAGCAGCTGCAGCAGCTACTGCTGCTGCAGCAGCTGCTGCAGCATCAGCAGCAGCTTCCAGCGGACCCGCTAACACTCCTCCTGCAGCCACGCAGCAGCAGCAGCAGCAGCAGCAGCAGCAGCAGCAGCCCCATGCCCGAGCTCCACCTGCTGCTGCTGCTGCTGCTGCAGCAGCAGCAGCAGCAGCAGGTGGAGCTTGGGCATGGGGCCAGCAGTTTTCTTTTTTTGACTTTGTGTCTTTTGCATGCATCTTCTGAGCTGCTGAAGACTCTGCTGTCTTCTTCTAATTCATATTCAGTTTATATTCCTTTTCAACTCCCCTGCTGCTGCTGCTCCCGCTGCTGCTGCTGCTGCTCCCGCTGCTGCTGCTGCTGCTGCTGCTGCTCCCGCTGCTGCTGCTGCTGCTGCTGCTACTCCCGCTGCTGCTTCCGTGCTGCTGCTGCTATAGTCTCTCCCGCCCTTGTTCCCGGCGCTGCTGCTGCTGCACCCCTGCTGCACCCCTGCTGCTGCTGCTGCTGCTGCTGCTGCTGCTGCTGCAGGTCTTACCAGTCCTTCTTCGGAGACGGCAGCATAAGAGTTTCTGTCGAAGGGCCAGTGCCTTCCCATCGTGCTGCTGCTGCTGCTGCTGCTGCGCTGCCGCCGATGACTCCGCTCTTTTCTTCTGTGGAGGAGACAGCGCAGCTGCATGCAAAGGTGCTTTTTCTTTTCTTTTTTTCTTTTTTTTAATTCTTTTTTTAATTCTTTTTTTAATTCTTTTAATTCTTTTTTCCTTTTATTCTTTTGTTTCTTCTTTTCTTTTCTTTAATTCTCTTTTTCCGCTTTTTTTCCGCCTTTTTGGACCCAAAATCCTCCAAAATGGAAAATCCAATTCTTGCTGCTGATGCTATTTGCTGCTTTGTGTGCTGCTGCTGCTGCTGCTGCTGCTGCTGCTGCTGTGTGATCTTTAATTCTCTTTTTCCGCTTTTTTTCCGCCTTTTTGGACCCAAAATCCTCCAAAATGGAAAATCCAATTCTTGCTGCTGATGCTATTTGCTGCTTTGTGTGCTGCTGCTGCTGCTGCTGCTGCTGCTGCTGCTGTGTCTGCAACTACCGCTGCGTGATTCCTACAAATTATTATTACTATTATTATTATTATTATTATTATTATTATCATTATTATTATTATTATTATTATTATTTATTATTATTATTATTATTATTATTATTATTATTATTATTATTATTATTATTATTATTACATCCATAGTTATTATTACGAATCAATATGAATTGCCCTTATATGTGCGCTGCTTCTGCTGCTGCTGCTGCTGCTGCTGCTGCTGCTGCTGCTGCTGCTGCTGCTGCTGCTGGTGCGCAGCTGCCTCTGCGGGGGGAGTACGCGGTGTGCGTGCGGAGTCTGTTGTCTTTTGAGCAAACAGTGACAATAGACTTTCATTTGCAAACTCAAGAAAAGAATTCCCACCCCAACCAGCTGGCCCTCGAAGACGAGGCTTTGAAGCTCAAGGGGCTCATGAACGAAGTTCTGCAGAAGGTAGCAGCAGCAGCAGCAGCAGCAGCAGCAGCAGCAGCAGCAGCAGCAGCAGCGGCAACGGCAGCGGAGGTTTAGCAGCAGCAGCAGCGGGAAAGGCAGAGGTGGAGGAGCCGCAGCAGCTGCTGCAGTAGAGGAGTAGTCGCAGCAGCAGTAGCAGCAGCAGTTGCAGCAGCAGTGGCAGCAGAGGCGTGGTAGTAGCAGCAGCAGCAGCAGCAGCAACTATAGCAGCAGCAGCAGCAGCAGCAGCAGCAGATATAACGAAAGAAGCTGCGAAAAGCCGCATTTGAGCAGCAGCAGACATCAAAAGAAAGCAGAATAAATGCGTCATTTGAATTGAATGATTAGAACTGAATTGTTTGGATTGAATTAATTAAATTAAGAAGTTTTAACTGAATTAATTAAACTGTTTTGTTTGCATGCAGGCGAACTCGCTGTTCGAGCAGCAGTCGCATGCAATGGTGCGGCTGGGGGTGCATGCGGAGTTGGGGGAGTCGACGCGGCGGCGGGCGACTTTGTGGAAATCGATCCAAATGGGCATGCAATTGGTGCTAACTGCGTTGCAAATATACTTTGTGAAGTCTTATTTCGAAGTTAAAACCATTGTGTGAAAAACGGCAGCAAAAACGAACAAAAATGACCCAAACTGCGCCGACTGCGCGCCCGCGCGCCGCGTTCAGGTGTACGTACACCCCGCGCGCTGGACGTACACCCCACGGGGTGTACGTACACCGCGCGGCCAGCGAACGCGCGCGCCGGAAAACTCGCCGAAAGAGTTTTTAATTCCAATTTTCGCCTTTTCGCCCCTCGCAGTTCAAAATAAAACAAAATTAAACAAAAATAAACAAAAATAAAACAAAAATGAAACAAAAATGCGCAAAAATTCAACTTCGGGACCTCGGATTCGCGCGGCAGCGCCAGGGAGGAGTTTCAAAGGACCCCACCGCGGAACTGAGTGCAAAGGAGGCACAAAACGCGATTGAAGTGCAAATATTGCAACACAAATGAATTATAAATGATTATAAATGATTATAAATGAATTATAAATGAAATATAAACGAAATATAAATGAATTGCATTTATATTCGTGCGCTGTATGTACATGCTTTAGCCCCACTCGCTCGCGCGCTTCTCGCACCTGCGTGTACACCTGAAACCGCAGCTCCTCTTGTTCAGTTTTTGAGGAAATTCAAAACTCATTTAATAAAACTTTTGCAAACAATTCAAAAAGAATTCTAAACTGCAACAAATTAAAATAAAACTTTTGCAAACAATTCAAAAAATAACTCTAAAGTGTTCACCTAACTGAAGCAAATTAGTTCAACTAGTTTTGCTGCTGCAGCTCAGCTGCAGTCAAGAAGTCTTCAAAAGGGAAAAACTTTCTTCGTTTTTTGCTGCAGCAGATTAGGCCTTCAAGTACCCCCTTTGCTGTAGCTAGCTGCAGCTAGCTACAGCTTGCTGCAGCTAGCTGCAGCTAGCTGCAGCTTGCTGCAGTTTGCTGCAGTTTGCTGCAGTAAGCTGCAGCTTGCTGCAGCTAGCTGCAGCAGTTGCAGCTAGCTGCAGCTAGCTGCAGCTTACTGCAGCAAAGAGACTGCGGCTAGCTGTCGCTGAGTAGTAGCGCGAGCAGCAGCAACAGCAGCAGCAGCAGCAGCAAGCAGCAGCAGCAGCAGCAACAACAGCAAGAACAACAGAAGCAGCAGCAGCAGCAGCAGCAACAGCCGACTTTCTTATTTCCGTTTCTGAATCAAAACGAAAGTGAATCATTTAAATTTAAATTTAAATTTAAATTTAAATTTGATTTGAATTTAAATTGAATATGAATTGAATTTAAATTCAAATTAAAACAAACTTGAATTTAAATTTGAATTCAAATTCAAATTTGATTATAAATTTGAATTTGGATATAAATCGAATTTGAATTTGAATTTAAATTTAAAATTGAATTTGAATTTAAAATTCAGATTCAAGATTGAATTTGAATTTGAATTTAAAATTGAATTTGAATTTGAATTTAAAACGGAATTTAAATTTAAATTCAATTTTAAATCCTTAAATCTAATTTTAAATCCTTATATCTAAATTTAAATTCAAATTTAAATTTAAATTTAAATTTAAATTTAAAATTAAATTTAAATTTAAATTTAAATTTAAATTTAAATTTAAATTTAAATTTAAATTCGGAAGCGGAAATGAGAGAGTCGGCGGCGGTCTCAGCGCGACGCGCAAAAGCCCCGAATTGAATCTGCAAATTTGGATTTTTGAATTTGAATTTTTTTTTTGAATTTGAATATTAAAATGAAAAAAGATTTAATAAATTCAAATATTAAATTAAATAAAAGAAATATTAAATTAAATATTTGAATTTATTCCGCTTTCCACTTTTGAATTCAACTTCGCCGCTGCTCGCGATCTGACCCGGGACAGCGAGGCTGCCGTTCTTGAATCGGAAAGAACCGGAAAAGAAATCGAATGAATTCAAAACGAATTTAAAATGAAATTAAAATAAATTTAAAATAAATTTAAAATAAATTTAAAATGAATTTAAATCAATTTAAAACAATTTAAAACAATTCAATTTGAATTCAATTTGAATTCAAGTTTCCGGGAGAGGCGCCGCCGCCGCGGGAGATCGGCGGAGTGTCGGGAAGCAGTAACTGGAATTGTTTCTCGTTTTGAATTTAATTGAATTCATTTTATTTATTTAATTTAATTTATTTTATTTATTTTATTTAATTTATTTATTTAATTCGAAATCAAAAAACTTTCTCGAATTCCTTTTCAGAAACTTCACTGCGTTCTCGCTGCAGCGGTCGCCCACTGGTTCGGGTGTCTAGGCACCCCCGAGATCGCCGCTGCAGCTCTTTGCAGCTTTCTTGCTTTCATTTATTTCCACTTTTATTATTTTTATTTATTTATTTCATTTTAATTCGTCTTCAGGGCTTTTGTTTCCGCGCGTCCAGGTGTATCGACAGCGCGCACAAGTCCCGCCAACTGTCTTCAGCGGATTTTCCAGTCGACGCTTTTGCTGCTTCCACACTCCTAATAAGCAGCAGCAACAGCAGCAGCAACAGCAGCAGCAACAGAAGCAGCAGCAGCAACAGCAGCAGCAACAGCAGCAGCAACAGCAGCAGCAACAGCAGCAGCAGCAGCAGCAGCAGCAACAGCAGCCGCAGCAGCAATAGTCGCAGCAGCACAAGAAGACGCAGCTGCTGCAGGACCAGCACCCAGGAACAGCAGCAGCAGCAGCAAAAGCAGCAGCAGCAGCAGCGGCAAAAAGGACAAGAGCTGCTGAACCAGCAGCAGCAGCAGCAGCAGCAGCAGGATGGATTAAAATTGCTTTGTTTGCTTCTTGCTGCTGCTGCTCCAACTTGAAAATGAAAATAACTTTTCATTTTCTCTCGGGCCGGCGTGGCCTGCAGCAGCTGCTGCTGAGTGCTTGTTCAATTTGCTTCCTGATTTGCTGCTGCTGCTGCTGCTGCTCTTTTGCTGCTGCTGCTGCTGCTGCTGCTCTGCTGCTAAGTGTGTTTGCTGTTTGCATATAAGCGGCAGCAGGAGACTTGGCGAAGATTTTAATTTAGTTGAAGTGTGGAAAGTTCTTTTGCTGCTGCTGCCTTTGCAGTTTGCTGCTGCAGTGCTGCAGCAGTTTCACCGCATGACCGGGCACTGGGAAGCAACAGAGGTGGGGGGGCGCTTGGCAATAAGGAAGAAGCCGAAAGGAAAAAAAAAAGAAGAAAGAGTCATTTTATCGGTGGAAGGTCTCGAAAAAGGTAAATAAAATAAAATAATATAACTTTCAAACTGCTTTTTAATTCTCAAAAGCGAAATCAAGTGAAGGCGGAGCGTCTTGAAATTCAGTGCAGAGTCAGCGGTTTCGGGTGTACGTACACCTCAGCACCGTCGAACTTCGCGAGTTTCAAAGGGGAAAATATGTTCAAAACTTTCCGTTTTCACGGAATGGGGAATGGAAAGAAAGTAGTTTTTGATTTAATTCGGAAAAGTTCGCGAAACTGTGGAGAAAAGCGGGAGAAAGTTGAATTTGCGTGGCAGAAATTCAAGTTCAGGTTTCGCGTTTTCGCGTCCGATCTCGTTATTTCCGGGTCATTTAAAGCAGAAAAAAGAACGAAAAAAGGATTTATTATTATTTTTTATGTTTTTCTATTATTATTTATTGATTTTTGGAATTTAAATTCGGAAATTTGAGTTTTTGCGGCGGCGCGCAGCGGGAGTTGAATCTTCGGCCGCAGTGTTCGGCAGCGGGCCGGAGTTTTTGCAGCTTTCCTTTTTGCTGATGGCGGTTTTTCGCGGAGTGGTTTTCGAAAGAGATTTAAAAAAGGTTTTCGACCTTTTGCCTCTTCTTCTCGCGTGGACTCAAATTGCAAAAAGACAAAATGCTTTTTTCGCCTTTCCCGCTTTTCCCTTCAAGTTCGTTCTCCCCGCCCTCGCGGCCCTCGAGCCCTCCCAGCCCCAAACCGAGCACCTCGACAAAGTCTCCAAGGCCAGCAAACCACGATTTAGGGTTTAGGGTTTGGGGTTTACGCTGCAGCGCCTAGGGTGCGGCGTTAAGGGTTTGGGGTTTGGGGTTTGGGGTTTAGGGTTTAGGGTTTAGGGTTTACGCTGCAGGGTTTAGGGTTTGGGCAGGCTTAGGGTTTGGGGGTTCGGGTTTAGGGTTTAGGGTTTGGCGCGGTTTAGGGAGCTAGGGTTTAGGGTTTAACGCTAAACCCTAGCGTGACGAGGCCGTCTCAAACCCTAAACCCTAAACCCTTGAAAAATAAATCTTTTATTTTTATTTTGTTTTTTGTTTTTAGTTGCAAATGGAGGCTCATAAGGCTTTTCCAGAGATGGACAAAGAAGAAATTGAAATGCAACTTGATTTGGATAATGCAATTGAAGAATCTGTTTTCGAAATTATTGTCAAAAAGGGTATTTCAAACCACTCTAGGGTTTAGGGTTTAGGGTTTAGGGTTTAGGGTTTGGGGCTTAGGGTGCACGGTTTAGGGTTTAGGGTTTGGGGACTTGTGCACAGAGGGGCTCACTGCTAAGGGTTTAGGGTTTAGGGTTTAGGGTTTAGGGTTTAGGGTTTGGGCCTGCTGCTGCAGCGCATCCTTAAAAGAAACAAAAGCTGCCACCGCAGCAGCAGCAAATAACCATTTTTGAATTGAATTAAATTAAATTTAAATTAAATCAAATAAGAACAAATCAAGCCAAATTTAAATCAAATTTAAATCAAATTTAAATCAAATTTAAATCAAATTTAAATCAAATTAAATCAAATTAAATCAAATTTAAATCAAATTAATTCAAATTAAATCAAATTAAATCAAATTAAATGAAATTAAATCAAGTTTAAACCAAGTTTAAATCAAATTTAAATCAAATTAAATCAAATTAAATCAAATTAAATCAAATTTAAATCAAATTAAAACAAATTTAAATCAAATTAAATCAAATTTAGGTCAAATAAAGTGAAACAAAGTGGATTTAGATCGAATTAAATCCAATTTAAGTCAAATCAAGTCAAATTTAAGCCAAATTAGATAAAATTAAACCAAATAAAACCAAATTAAATCGAATTAAATCCAATTAAATCCAATAAATAAATAAATTAAATAAATTTCCTGAAATTGTGAAATAGGAATTCCGTTGGCGAACCACCACCGGCACGGGTCGTACTTCGCGGAGTGTATGGACAGCCGAGACTCGCTGCTGAAGTGTCTGCAGAAGAAGAACAAAAGGGGGAAAGAGTTGAGTCATTATTTATTGTCTCGAGCAGTTTTTTTGTTGTTTAAAATGGCAAAACCCTCTGCGAAAACTGGAGAAAAAGAAAAAGGAGAAGAAAAGGACCTGGGAAATCCAAAAACCAATCCAAAAGACCAAAAACTAATCCAAAAAAACGAAAAAGACTCCAACCAAAATGTCCTCCATTTCTTTCTCTCCAGACAATTCTGGAAAGATGAAGAAAATGCTACTAAGACCATGGAAGAACTCTTCGCAAGAACCAACTTCTACGCATACTCCGTCTTCAACTACCTCCAGGCAACTAGGGTTTAGGGTTTAGGGTTTAGGGTTTAGGGTTTAGGGTTTGGGGTTTAGGGTTTAGGGTTTAGGGTTTGGGGTTTAGGCTTTGGTGTTTAGGGTTTAGGGTTTGGGGTTTAGGGTTTAGGGTTTGGGGTTTAGGGGTTAAGGGTTAGGGTTTGGGGGTTAGGGTTTGGGGGTGAGGGCTTGGGGGTTAGGTTTTGGGGGTTAGGGTTTCGAGTTTGGGGTTTAGAGTTTAGGGTTTGGGGCTGGGGTTTATAGGGTTAGGGTTTAGGGTTTAGGGTTTAGGGTTTGTTTCTTCAGAACAACCTGGAGAAAGAGAGTTCAGTAACGGTAAGAGCAGCAAATTGAATTTGAGAAGAAGTGAAGAATGCCGCGCCAGTTTGGACAGCTAGGGTTTAGGGTTTAGGGTTTAGGGTTTAGGGTTTAGGGTTTAGGGTTTGGGTTGTTTGGCCCCCTGAAATGCCGTTTTTGTGCAGCTTTAATTTCCATTTGTTTGGTTTTTGAAAATAGTTATTTATAATATTCTTTTCAAAATAAATAAATTGATAAAAATAAATTTTATTTATTTTTATTTATTTTTAATTTCCACTTTTTTATTTCCCTCTGCAGGAACTGCTGCAAGAAGTGATGGAGCAGTTCCAAACTGCAGAAACGGTAATTACAAAATAAATAAATAAATAAATTAAAATAAATAAGTGAATAAATCAATTAATTAATAAGCAAACTAATAAATAAGTTAATTAATTAATTAATTAATTAATTAATTAATTAATTAATTAATTATTCAATTGATTATTAAATTGATAAAAGTAAGTTAATTAGTTAATTAAGGAATAAACTAATTAACTTATTTATTTACTTAATTCAAATTGCTGAAGTTATTTGGCATTACTAATAGTCCCGATTTTATGATTAATTTTTTGATTATTTATTTATTTATTTATTTATTTATTTATTCATTAATTCAGATATTTATTTATTTATTTATTTATTTTATTTCATTTATTTTTTGCAGGAGGCGAAGGCTCTTTCTGAGGAGCACAAAATGCAAATTGAGAAATCTGTAATTTGAACCAATTAAATTAAATTGGTTAATTTAATTTGATTTAATTTAATTTGATTTAATTTGATTTAATTTGATTTGATTTAATTTGACTTAATTGAATTTAATTAAATTTAATTTAATTTTGCACAAAATGCAGTCAACAGCATTTCAAACAAATCAATTTTGCATCCCTTCACCCCCCCCCAGCGGCCCATGGGTTTAGAGTTTAGGGTTTAGGGTTTAGGGTTTAGGGTTTAGGGTTTAGGGTTTGCGTGCAGTTTGAGGGTTTTGTGGAGTTTGCGGGAGCGAAGAGCCCGGAGTCTGTGGCTCTCGCGGTGGGGGAAAAGAAGTCGGGATTAAAAGAATGGAATTTAATTTTTAATTTCGAAAAAATGAAAAACTTTTGCAAAGAAAAAAACACTTTCTGCAAAGTGCTTCTCAGACAGCTCCTCAGGACCAGTGAGCGCTCCCGTTTCCGTCATTTATTCTCCATCTATGCCTCATTTTTTGTTTATTTTTGTTTATTTATTGTTTATTTATTATTATTTTATTATTTATTTATTTTATTTCCTTTATTTGCTTCATTTATTTGTCTCCAAGTCGCTTTCTTTCCGTTTCGCCTCCAGCGGCTGTTTCATGGGGTGTACGTACACCCCAGACATGCGCGCGGTGGGAGGCGTTTCGTTTTTGTTCGTTTTAAATCGAAATTAAAAGTTTTAAATTGCAATTAAAAGTTTTTAATTACATTTTAGTGTTTTAAATCACAATTTGTTGCTTTTAGTTGCAACTTTTCGCTCCAATTCTCTCTTTTTCGATGCAGGTCCCTCCATCAAAAACGCCTTGGCTGTGGAAGAATTCAAACTTATGCTCCGCGCAATTCTCGTGCGAAGAAACAAAATAATTAAAATTAATTATTTCTTTTTATTTTATTTATTTATTTATTATTCGATTATTTGTTTATTTGTTTTACTTTGCCTTGTTTTATTTTGTTTATTTGTTTTACTTTGCCTTTTGTTTTATTTTGTTTATCTGTTTCAAGCGTTTTATTTGTCATATTTGGTTTACTTCTTTTATTTCTCATATTTCTTTTCTTTATTATAGTTGGTTTGTTTGTTATAGCTGGCTTACCTGTTTTATTTATTTTATTTGTTTTATTTGTTCCATTTGTTTTATTTTCTTTATTTGTTTTATTTGTTTTAATATTTTCTTTATTTGTCTTATTTGTTTTACTCTCTTTATTTGCTTTAATTCTTTAGTTGGTTTATTTGTTTAATTGCACCATTGTTTTATTTGCTTTTTTGTTCAGTTGTTTTATTTGTTTTATTTGTTTTATTTATTTTATTTATTGCATTTATTAAATTGTTTCATTATTTTATTTGTTTTATTTGTTGTATTTGTTTAATTGTTTTATTTGCTTACTTGTTTTATTTGTTTTGTTTTTTAATTGTTGTATTCGTTCAATTGTTTTATTTGTTTTATTTGGTTTATTTGTTTAATTGTTTTATTGTCTTATTTGTTTATTTGTTTTATTTGTTTAATTGTTTTATTTGTTTTATTTGTTTTAAATAAATAAATTTGAAGTTTTGATTTTTTTTCAGGTGTCTGTAGGTGCAGTGACACCCCAGGCAATGGCCAAAAGTGAGAAGAAAATAAATTTAATTTAATTTAATTTAATTTAATTTATTTTATTTTAATTATTTGAATTTATTTTGTTTGAATTTATTTTATATAATTTATTTACTCTTAATTTATTTATTCTTAATTTTTTCTCTTTTATTTGAATTTATTTTACATGATTTCATTTAACCTATTTAACTTGTTTTTAATTCATTTTTAATTTAATTTTGAGGCTTTTTTTTATTTATTTCAAAAGCTCTTCTTATCTTTCAATTATTTCTTCTAATTCAGTTTTTGAAGATACGCGAAAACAAAACAAAAACAAAAATGAAAATAAAAGTAAAATAAAAACGAACTTGACAGTAAAATTGAAAGTAAAACTAAAATTAAAAAAAATTAAAACTGAAATTAAAATTAAAATTGAAATTAAAATAAAAATTGAAGTCTAAATTGAAATAAAAAGGGAAAAAATGAAGTAAAAGAAATGAAATTGAAATGGAAGTGAAAACAAAACAAAATGAAGTTAAAATGAATTAAAAACAAAATGAAAAACAAAATAAAATAAATAAAAAATAAAAATAAAATAAATATTTTTCTTTTCAGGTCTAAAGAAAGAATTCAGTCTTCTCGCGAAACAAATAAAAGTCCCGAGTGAGTGGAACTGGAAATGAATAAAAACAAATCCATTATTTATTTTAAATTAATTAATTGGATTTAATTAAATGGATTTAGTTGGATTTAATTTAATTAATTGGATTTAATTAAATTAATTGGATTTAATTAAATTAATTGGATTTAATTTAATTAATTGGATTTAATTTAATTAATTGGATTTAATTAAATGGATTTAATTGGATTTAATTAAATTAATTGGATTTAATTAAATTAATTGGATTTAATTAAATTAATTGGATTTAATTTAATTAATTGGATTTAATTAAATTAATTGGATTTAATTAAATTAATTGGATTTAATTTAATTAATTGGATTTAATTTAATTAATTGGATTTAATTTAATTAATTGGATTTAATTAAATTAATTGGATTTAATTAAATTAATTGGATTTAATTAAATTAATTGGATTTAGTTAAATTAATTGGATTTAATTAAATTAATTGGATTTAATTTAATTAATTGGATTTAATTTAATTAATTGG